TATATATATATATATATACATATATATATATATATGTATATATATATATATATATATATATATATATATATATATATATATATATATATATATATATATATATGTATGTACATATAGATGTGTGTGTATATATGTATATATATATATATATATATATATATATATATATATATATATATATATATATATATATATATATATATATATATATAGATGTGTGTGTATATATGTATATATATATATATATATATATATATATATATATATATATATATATATATATATATATATATATATATATATATATACTCTCACACACACACACACACACACACACACACACACACACACACACACATATATATATATATATATATATATATATATATATATATATATATATATATATATATATATATATATGTATATACATATATGTGTGTGTGTGCATATATATAGACATTCATATATTATATATATATATATATATATATATATATATATATATATATATATATATATATATATATATATATACATATATATATACATATATATATATATATATATATGTATATATATATATATATATATATATATATATATATATATATATGTATATATATATGTATATATATATATATATATATATATATATATATATATATATATATATATATATATATATATATATATATGTATATATATATATATATATATATATATATATATATATATATATATATATATATATATATATATATACATATACATATATATATATATATACATATATATATATATATATATATATATATATATATATATATATATATATATATATATATATATATATATATATATATATATATTATCATCATCATTACTATTTTTGTTATTGTTGATGTTAGTATCATCATTATCATTATTATTATTACTATTGTTATTGCTACTGTTATCATTATTGTTGTTATTGTTTTTATCATCGTTATTATAATTATGATTGTCCCTAATATTATCGTTATAAGAATTAGTAGTATCATTGTAATTATAATATCATTATTGTCATCATCATCATAATGATAATGATAATAATGTTAATGATGATAATTATCATAATGTTAATGATAATGACGATAGTGACAATAATAAGTATGGTAATAATAACTGTTATCATTATTATTTTTTTATTTGATAATCATTGTCATTTGGAATAGAGATATTATCATCAACATTTCTTCTATGATTATTAACATTACCACTGTTATTATCATTATTATTGTTATTTTCTTTATTATCAATGTCATTGTTATCATTATTATTAGTAGTATTACTAGTAGTAGTAGTAGAAGTAGTAGTGTTAGAATGAGATTTATCATTGTTATTATTGTCAATACCGTTGCTGTTGTCGTTATTACATTGATATTATTATATTTGGTATGATTGGTATCACTGATAAGATCATTATTGCTCTCATTATGATCATCGCTTTAATTATCAATATTTTTATTTCCTAATCAAAATTATCATCAACCTTATTATCATTCTTATTTGTCTCCTTTTCTTCTTAAAATTATGATGTAATGAAAAGCACTTGGGGTTTGTCCAAGTTTAATACAACACATTATGTGACATTCTACCTGCCATTACCAATAGGATGATGTGTTGTGGATCTGCTGGTTGCATTCCCTATTCCAGAGAGACGAGATTTCAGTTCCTGAGACAGAAATGATGATTTTCTGCCCGAATGAATGTATGCAGGCCTTCTAGCAAGAGGAAATATCTGTTCATGGCAAGCGATGAATACATGTTTGGGCAAGGAATTGCAAAGGATATCTGGAATATTCATCCACAACGGTGAACATGTATGAAGTTGAAGACACTAATGGTCCCTTAAAATCAATGCTTGGGTGTTCTAAAGGTTGAGTGGCTTTGGTAAGGGTTTCATCGGATGGGCAATAAAACCGTGGCTTTAATTCTGCACAAACTTTGCATGCAGCACAAGTGTACTTTACGTCTTCAGTTGAAAAAGGTAGGGTCCTTGGATCTTACAAAATGCAGCAAGCGGGATACTCCTGGATGGCACAAACCATTGTGGATATCCATAAGAATTGAACTTGAAAAGGCCGAACGGCAAAATGCTCTCGTCAGAGTATCAGGAGCCACATTTCTTTACTAGGGCGATAGTGAACAATATAGATGTATAAGGCTAATTTCGTCCTCCATTCTTAAATCTTACTATAATTTATTTCGGTTCACTTCATGTTATCAAGCATAAAGGCAACAGAGCTTTGATCAGTGACTAGTATAAAGTGTTGCCGAGCTAATAGGTGACTCCATTCCAAATCGCTTCTATTATGGCTGTGGTTTCCTTCTCCACTGCTAGGTAATGTAACTCACTATCCTGTAATGTTCTAGACGTAAAAGCAACAGGTCTTCCACCTTAGTTTAACTCACCTGAAATGGCTACATCAAAGGCACCACATTCAACCACAAAAGGCAAATTTTCATCAACAGACTGACGGGTGGCATATTCTAGTTATTTCTTAAGTTGAGTGAAGGCCTCCGTAGTCAGTTCACTCAGTGAAAAAGTAGTGTTATTTATTAACGGCTGGATTTTGTTTAAGAAATTCAGTATCTATTTTGCATTGTAAGCAAACATTCCAACAGGTCTCTTCAATGCCTCAGGACTTCTTGGGGGAGGAAGCTCTTGCAAGGGTCAGGGCCTCTCAGGACCAGGTTTTACTGTACCATTGCCGATGCAATGACATTAATTGAGGGCACAGAAGATATGGTCTTGGATTCATTTAGAGTCTTGTCAATGATAACTCTTCAACATTTTCATTGTATTCCTTTTGAGTATGACCAGTAACTTATCAAGATAAAGGAAGTATCTTTAAAAATTTCTTGCCGTATTAACTTATCCGCTTGTCGCAAAATAATGCAAAATTAATATAAACTCCAATTAGTCCTAAAAGCATATTGAAGACACGTACTTGGCTAGATCATCCAGGCATCTAATTCTATGTACAAGTTGATTAGTTGGGAACAATCAATGCAAAGTTTTTTATGTCTGTTGGAAAGGTCTTTCACAACTACAACTTGAGAACTAGATTCTATAATACCTTCTGCATCAGCACTGAAATGCCTAGATTTTGTAGCAATAAGTTTACACTTGGAAGACAGATTAGTAAAACAAAATAGCTTCTTCCACTGAAGCTGGAGATAGATCACAATAAGGAGTCATTCTAGACATTGTTAACTCAGGTTTTGTTAAACTTCAAGCTCTTATGCTGCCCTCAAAAATCATAGCCTAATATTATATCACAGTACAATCCTTTGAAATTCCAAAATAGATGGACCTCTAAATCTACTAAAGATTCCCTATAGAGTTTTATTTAGTGAAGTTTGAGCCATTGTTACATCTCTGTTCAGACAAACTTTTAGTTTCATTTCACTAACCGCAATCTCACTAATAAAGCTTTCTGAGCTACAGGAATCTATTAGTGTATTGAACTTCTTCACATTTATTGACACCGCAGCTGCTGCGTGAGAAAGATTCTGTGGAAAACTAGTATGGCAGCCGACAACGTAGGAGAGAACAAAGTTGCCGATGCACTTGAGTGTGAAATTAGACCAACTTACCTTAGCAAAGAGTCCCCTCTTTCCATAAGTATTCCACAAGCCTTCACGTGCTGGACATAATTTCCTCTTATGAAGATAGTGGCCGCAAAAGTAACACTTCTGTTTTGCAGTAAAAGCTGTGGCAAGTGTCTGATCCTGTTGTGCAATTTCTTCAGAGTGAGGTTGTTGAGGTGTAATGACAGCGGCAGTAGGCACACTTGCAGAAGCATGAGTATCAGCATTACGTTGGGCCAGACCCAGTGAATAGGCTTGACTATGGGCTTTTTCCAAATCAAGGGTTATAATCTCCAAAAGACGTTGTCTTATCAGGGGTGAAGCAATGCCTTTTGGTTTCAGTCCTTACTGAGTCTCCGGAGTTCTTGTAGAAATTCGTCTAAAGATTCACCTGGCTGCTGCTTCCTGGTAGCTCACAAGTTCTCTGCAAAATTTTAATCTAGGGTTTTCACATACGAATTCTGTAATGTATAACGCTTTCATAATCATTGCACTCTTCTATGTAGTCATACACAGTAAAGGAAGCACAGTTTACTAAAGTTCTAAAATTCTCTGACGCAGATTCTCCATATTCCTCAATAATATTTGTAAATGAATTATGTTAATGTTTCCACATTTTGGCTGCAGTGGGAGATACATCCAGTCTAGAGGGCTTGAGACGTTTCTCCATTGAATTAATTGCAATAAAACACGCTTGGGGGTTGTTCAAGTTTATTACAACACATTATGTTATATTCTGTAACAAAGAACAATATATCTTAAACTTACAAATTAAGTATACTAAAACATAAAAACGCTTATGGTAAACGTTCCATAATTAGCATCAATAATATCTTAACAGATGGCATTACACATAGAACAGATAAATAATAGAAAATAACCTTACATGATGAATGTGTACAAACTGATTTCTGCACAGACTGTAAATACTGA